GTTTGACCTTCAAGGGTGATTTTTTGATGGATACTAGCACCTTCTGTGGTGAATATTCTGACCTTTGTAAGTCAAAAATCAGCCGGTAATTTTTGGGTAAAATGGACTTCCCCATCTCTTGAGCCCACGTTTGACTTTAAAGGGCGACCTTGAGAGGTCAGGACTTTTTGACGGGCGCTAGTTTGTTGTGGGAAATATTCTGATGTTTAGAAGTTTGAAAGCGGCCGGTAATTTTTGGGTGATAGGAGGTTTCCCGTTCTTTGGGCCCGCGTTTGATCTTGAGGGGTGACCTTGAGAGGCCAGAACTTTTTCACGGACGCTAGCTCTTGTGCTTGTAAATATTTTGTGGCACACAGTTTTCAAATCGACCGGTGTTTTTTGGTTGATATCGAGGTATCGTCCTTTGACCCAGCTTTTGACCTTGAAGGTCACATTATATTGCAAAATTAGGGTCATTTTTGGTGCTTGCATGCCAAAATTGACCTCGAGACGCCTTTTCTGAGAGCTTGTAACTCGCTGCTGAAAAAATCACTGAATAGATCGCTAATTTCACGGACATACCATTTTCACTACCCTTGTCAATGAGAAGACCAGATATTTTTACCTGGCTTGTGATATGATCAGTCAGGTGAAACACGTCAACTAAATTTGATCCGAGTGCGATTGACCAGGTTATCAATTGATGCTTCATTTTCCTGATGTGATGATTATATCATCATGTTGTAGGCAGACTTATGTTCACCTAGAGCTGAATCATAAAATGACTCATGAATCAATCGTTTTGAGATGAGTCTTGGGCTGAATCGAATCACTCTAAAAAAAATATCGCTTTGAGCCATCAGCTGAATCTCATTCTTCGCAAATTTCATTATTTTAATTGTGAGTCTGTCATTACTAACAATGTTGTGTCGATGAGTCATATGGCTCAAATGAAAATGGTAACATGAGGAAATAAAGCACACCCTATGGAAATTAACAGACCGTTTATGGGTGCTAAAAAAGGGCACGCAGTAAAAGTTATGAAGTTTCTTTTGCAAAATCAGCACAAAGCTTGTGATTGTATTTTTTAAGTAGCAAACGCAATATTGCTGATCCCGAGATATAGCTTGCCGAATGTTAGCTAGTAACGATAGGATATCGCATGGTACGGACATCCTACCTTCCTATATCTTAGCTAAAACCAGTGATAAATGGTCTGCTACCTACAAAATCAAGGGAAGAGCCATTTTTTTCATCGCCAATTGTTACAACCATGAACTAATTCATATCTGGCCCCACATTCAGTTCTTCTTAAGCTGCCCTAAGCATGCTTTTGCTGAGGCTATATAAAATGCACAGCAAGGTCGTCTTGCTTCATATGCGCATCATGCGCATATGTATGTCGCGTATGACCTCCCAGGTATATCACCAAAAGCGATTTCCATGCAACATGCAGCTTGTGAGAATTTTGTCTTCAAGTTAAGTCGTCTTGGAATGCAGGTAACGTGGCGCACAGCGCTAATCTCTAGGCAGCGCAGAAACCTAACCCATCATAGAGGGGCCTGTTAAGATGAGCTTAAGGTATCCTGTTGGAAACGATAGTCGGCGCCTGGGTTAGCCTTTTTCTCGTTCAGTTGTTCAGAGCTGACTTCAGTTCACTTCAGTTCATTGCTGACTGGAGGACGTGAGTCATGTAAAGTGGATTTTTGCTGGGATTGTTTATGAGGTTTGTGAGAAATGCAATTGCAAAAGGTGACACTTAAATTCGGGCAAACAGATCAAGTCATATCATGTTTATGACTTATGCTAGCTGATCGCTATTGCAAGAACTGCAATATAATGTTAAGTTGTTGACATAACTGCCTTCGTCGCCGATGGCATGGCTAGTACCGGCGAATGGAAATGGGATTAACTACGCGTGAGTACACTTGGCTAGCACCTGGCACGTGTAGGCTGTGAAATGTTAGGTTAAGTGCAGTTAAGCCCGCACTGCACGCTTTCTAACTAACGAGTCTGGATGTTAAGTGCCAGGAGAAGTATGCTATCCTTGTAGCTAAGACTAGAGAGAGTTGAATGTTACCAGGTGGCAGGAAGGGTATTATTTGCTGCACTGCATTTGGTAGGCTCAAGCTACATACATGCTTTTGCGCTATTTGGGCGATTTTATTGCATTTTTGCTTTGTTCTGGGCTATTTCATTACGTAACGGGCTTCTGCAGTGTAAATATATATATATATATATATATATATATATATATATATATATATACATATAGGAGTCGAATGACTCATTACAAGCAACGAGCCTGAGCTGGGTCGATTAAAAAATGTGGAACAGCTTTGAGTGGTGAGCTTAACCGGATCCCAAAATCTATCAATCAGTTCTGAGCCACCTACTTTTTTTAATCGAACAGAAGTCTGGTTGCATGTGAGGGTAAAAGTAACTCACAGATAGTCACAAGAAGCGAAGTACCCCAGGTGGCGCCGGGTTAAGGTTACAGCAGGATTTCGACATGGTTAGGGCATAGACTGACACCTGCGTAGCCTGGCAACTTGCCAAGCGTCTCAGCAGATGCTGTTTCCTTCAGTGTGAACACATCAAATGTAAGCCATATGATTATGATTGTTCTTAGGCAAAAGGAGGAGCAACGGATAAAATATACATAACAGTTAGTAAGGGTAAGAAAACTTTCTTACCTTGGCTGGCTGGCAGATGTTAGTCCACGACAATCCACACTCTTGCAGCGCTCAAAAAATGAAAAATAGGAGCGTGTGAAAGCCAAAAGGCTGAGTGATGAGGAAATCCCCTGGGCTGAGTGTTGATCTCATAGCATGTGCCGACGAAATAATAAAAAAGTAGTGGCGAAGTACAGATGTGAAAAAAAATTCCAACTCGTGACCTCGAAAAAAGCACAACGCGCAGGCTACCGCTCGTCTGGTTTCGTCTGATTTTTAAAGTACGCGACGGACCGCAAACGATCAAAGCGTAGCATTCCACTCGATGTTTTGAAAAGTACGCTACAAATCATTATAACGCATAGTTTTAAGCGATAGAACACAATAATATTTTAACTGCTGAGGCATCGAAAGTCAGCACCTCCAACCAGCTAGGTAATCATGTGCATGCCTTCAGCATAAGGCTAAGTAAAATAGACGACGAACGCGCCCGGCTGAAGTCGTGCTGTTCGGCCGCCGGACGCAAGCGCGAGTGCCAGCACGTCAGCGCGCCGTGCATCCCTTTAGCTTGGACCTGTGCTTGCTGCCGCGGAGTTATAACCGGATCTCCGGACTACGTGCGATAGGCTAGTTTGCACTCGCTTTGGATCAACAGTTAAGGCTGAATGAGCACTTAGGTCAACCCACTATTTTTGCTATACTGTCAAATCCTTACTTGCCTTCTCATGAATACCTAAGCTACAAAGGATACTGTGTGCAACCACAGTTTGCGGACGTCTCAAATGGCCAATAATCAGGTCGCTTAAATACAGCACCACATGCCTAAAACCCTATACACACCTAGCGCCACCCACAAATACAGCAGCACGTGCCTAAAACCCTATACACACCTATCGCACACCCACAAATACAGCAGCACGTGCCTGATACCCTATAAACACCTGGCGCACACCCAAAAACACATGCAAAGGTAAATCCAGAGCGGCACTTCGAGCATCCCCTCCCTCTAAAACAGTCAGGAACAAATGACGCATTTCTAGGATTTCGAATAACATCTAAGCAACTTGTACTAGGGAAATTCGTTTTGGTCAGAATACTCATTGTGGTAAAGAAACAAAATTTTAAGATTTTCTGAAAATTAGCAACACTTTTCTGTACGTTTACAACCTCGATGTCCTGCCTAAGAGCAACTAGACGTGGAAATACGGCGAGGCCGTCCTGTTGTCCTCAAACAAACTTTGCTTTAAAATTCCAAAAGAGCCATGCTTTATAACATTCGGGGTGCAGTTGCTCAGCGATCCTCGACAGCGATCTGGGAGGTGGGGGGTCTCAGACCGACCTTAGCCTTAATGCTCCATGTGTTTCCATTGCATTACATTATATTACTATTGCCATCAGACAAACTGGGATGTTTATAGGGTTGTAATAATTACAACTACATCTTTTTGCTACCTATGCGCACGAATCTTAGATAAGCATGGTTTAATAGCGAGTGGGTGGCACGAAGAGGGTCTTGGATGGAGGGTGGATGGGCATCTGGGCCAGCAGACCAGCCGCAGCGCTGACATCTGGGACAGCAGACTGGCCGCTGAGCTGACATCTTGACGTTCGGTGGTTCCACGGTCTACACAATTAGAGGGCATGTTATTGCCTCAATCAGACACGCTACTGTTGGCCGGCATAAAAATACGCGTGGATGCCAAGTACGCAAACATTAACCTGCGCATGCACTTCGATACAGGCTGAGTTCTCTCGGGAAGAACAGGTATCTGCTTCGAATAAGTGCGAGGCTGAGAATAAGGTCACGACATCTTTCTTGCCTTTTAATTTTATCATCCTGTTTACTGTCCTTCCTTTCTTTGCATTAATATTGCACTCTAATTGCCTCTTAGTCATTTCTCCTAAAGATACCCTGTCCTTCCCTGCCTAACCAGCCCCATCCTGTCCTACCCCGCCGAGCTCTAGCTTGCCTTATCCTACCCAGCCTTACCCTGCCCTAAGCTGCCCTACCCACCGTACCCTTCCCTTCCCTACCCTACCCTACCATTCCCTACCCCTCCCTACCCAACCCTGCCCTGCCCTGCCCTGCCCTTCCCTGCCCTTCCCTGCCCTGCCCTGCCCTGCCCTGCCCTGCCCTGTCCTGTCCTGTCCTGTCCTGTCCTGTCCTGTCCTGTCCTGTCCTGTCCTGTCCTGCCCTGCCCTGCCCTGCCCTGCCCTGCCTTGCCCTGCCCTGCCCTGCCCTGCCCTGCCCTGCCCCGCCCTGCCCTGCCCTGCCATGACATGCCTGGTCGCGTTTTGCCCTGCCCTGCCTTCTTCACTCACCCATTTCCCGGCACCCTGTCTGACCTGTTGCTGCCTGCAGCTGCGGTAGATGCTTCTGCCAGAAGGCGCATCGTTTGACCTTCGGCCCGACACCGATCGCCGACGAGTTAACCGCCAGCGTGATGTACTTCCTGTCGGTGGCCGTGTGCAGAGGCCAGTAATCGGCGGCCCGCTCCAGGTTCGGGCCTCGGTTCGGGTTCCTGTACCAATCAGATCGTGATCCGTCAGTCGAACGTCGCGACCAGTTCGTGCGTGCGTTTGGTCGATAGAGCCAACGACAGATGTAAGCCGAGCAGGTCACCGACACCACCGACGAGGTTTATGAAACTTCGTGTCAAATTTGAGCTGCACAAATTAGACAGAATGGTGCAAAGGCACGATCTGCCACAATTGCATCACCTGTCTGACGAACACAAGGTCAATCAGAGGCTTCGTTAAATGAATGGCGAGAGAGTGACTACCCGAAAAGCAATTCGCGAAGGAATGGCTCAGAGGACTTTGTTGGCCGTTTCGTGGAATTTCCGTCGCACATAGAAGCCTTTTTAGCAATGTTCGAATGATGTGATGTTCCAGACAAGTCATATCATGTTAGATCAACTAAAACCCAATTATGCCAGATTATACTAAAACCCAAGCGAATGATGTCCTGCTAGATCATACTAGAGCCAAAGCGAATGTATTCAGACACATTTAGACCTGATGCGAATGAATCTTATCATCGGCCATGTCCATCATTTGAATTTTACGGGCTAATAGGCTTGTTGATATAGCGTTCGGGTGCTAATGCAGAAAATACACGAATAGCATTGCTTGAGATGTGTGAGAACTCAAAATTATGAAACCAGTTTTTAGATGACGTCATGAGCCAATTTGCATTACATTGGACTTGCACTGGCTATGAACAACGCTTTCGCAAAAAAAAGCTCATCATCAAATTGTGTGGACAATAGAGCAGGCATGGAAAAGAAGCCAAGGTGCTGGCATTGAAACCAAATTTAAAGCCAAAACATCGGCACATTGCCGAAGCCAAAGCCGATGTTGAAGCCAAAGGCGATGGTTTCTAAGTTCGGAACTGCAAAGCGGAAGCCGAAACGAGCGACTTTGTATTCTTAAAACGCATAGCCAATTCCGACGGTAGTGGTGTCGAGCTTTGTGCACGTGAAACGGAATCCGAGGTCAGTGCCTTCAAAGTAGTAGGAAACACGAAGCCAAATAAATCAATCACTTTAAAATCGCAGGGCTGCGTCCGAAGCCGAGTCTAGCGCACAGCGTTGTTTTGCGGTGCACGACACATTTTTTCACGCCTGCTTAAGCTGCATGGGATCACGAAATGCAATGGTTTTGCGGCGCATGAATAATTTTTCTGACATTATTTCTGTCTTGTGCGTTAGAGCCAACACAACTTTTCGGACACTTAGTCTTCCCGGCAATAGTCAGGTGTCGCTTGGTCCTGAAAACTACTGACTGGTTTTGACTTTCAGGAATGCTTGCGTCGCAGCCTTGACAAGTTGTGTGGTAGATTGTGGTAGCATGGTAAGTATGCCTGTTTTTGTAAAGCTAAGTTACACCTGCAGTGAAAAATGAACATAAAAATGAAACATGCATTTCAAGGGCACACCGAGCCGAAGCCGCACCGATAATCTACAACATGTTCAAAGCCGAAGCCGAAACCAAAACCAGCTTTTTAAAATGTCACCAAGCCGAGACCGAAGCCAACCGTCAAAAAACGGACAAATCCCTAGCCAAAGTAGAAACCGACCCTGGCAAATATCTCGAGGGCAAAGCTGAAGCCTTAGTGGAATAATCCTGTGGTGGAAAATGACTGGAAGCCGAAGTTGAATCCAATGTCTTGGGAGACACGATATTGCCTTCCAGACATTTGCTTTTCACAACAAGGGGTAGTTATGCATAATAACCTGGAATGCATCTTGAAGAACGTGAGATATTTAGATGCATTTGCAGACCGTACATGTTTTGTAAAAGGCACCAGTATCTGGCACAGTGAAAGACGATAGAAGGGAATCAAAGTAGGCTAGAAAACATTACCTTTCTTCGAAGGTCAAAAATTAGTCAGAATATAAATGCAAGTTCGACTATTATGTTACTCACACTTCTATTTTAAAAATGCCTAGATTGGTTATGGAATGAGCTCAAGTTAATGATTGGAGCCAGGTATGCCTTTTTCGTTTGATAACCTGGGTGCTATTTCAGCCGCTGCATGGCTGCAAGCAAGAAAGTCCTTGCTTTTTTGCAAGATCAGCACGGAACTTTCAAAACGTGAAAGAACGCGTGTAATATCACTTCGTGAAACACTTCATTAGTCAAAATAAAACCGATTCGGCCGGCGTGGCCGTCCAACCATCTAGAAGCCAGTCATCTGCAAGCAAAGGTTGCATGTTCATGCAGTGTGCAGGACCGATAAGAGCGATGCATTTGAAGTTGCGCTGCACCAGTCGTACGTGAACCGCATGCAATCGGCTTAATCGCACCCAAATTCCCAGCGAGTTTTGTATGTGAACGAAACATGGCCCTTCGATGCGATTGATATGAAAAAAACGCACGCAAGAACATGATATCAAAAACGCAAAAACGCTCTTGGTACGCGCATTGCAACCAACTTTGCGCGAAATGAGTAAAGGCCTCCATCGGACCAAGAGCTCCGCAGCCGGCGTCGGTTAGCGCGAGAGGTCATCGCTGTTCGACGGTAAAATCACGTCTAATTGCTTTGGCACAAGTGAGGGTCCGAGAGTTTGGGTCGATCTCATTACATCCGTCTAGTAAAGATTCTTAACTCGCATACCAACGGCACCGTCTGTCGGAATACTGTGTGGCGAAAGGGCGGAGGTAAATCATCCGTCGAACCGAAATGGCACAACTTGCGAGGTAGGTTTTCAGAACGAAACATCAAACAATTTTGCTTAGCAAGCACCATAAACTCCAAATCTTGTACGCAAACCATTCGCAATTCATTAACTTTAAAAATCTTGTTGCTGGCCACACGTGCTCAAACGCGTCCGTCTGATCCTCGAGATCCCGACCATCTAGTCAGTTACGTTAGCCGGTGCTCGGTCGGAAAACGGCCGGCGCCATCTTGTTTTCGGAACCGATGTTAACCGTAGCGACACGCGATGTTTTAAGCCGAGTGAGGTTAGACTTTTCGGCTACTCAAGCCTTTAGCCCAGATGTATCATAAGTCACTGTGATGAATGCCCTACAAATGTTATCGTTATTTGCAAAGCTTTAATGCTAAGGAGCAAGATCTTAAAGTTTAAGAACTTCAGCCATGCCGCCGATTACAATTGCCAGGCCTGACGAGACCCACAGCCAGCCAACTTCAGGCAATGCGATTGGTGAGCAAGCGCGCAAACGCTTTATCAGTGAAACTGCCTCTGTACGCTCATAAAAGTCGGACCTTACAGAGCACTGATGCCTGATGGGAGCCATTTGCAGGCGTTCCAAAACGGTCTCGGGTGCATCGTGACCGAAGTTGTGTCTTACGCTGTGATTATGTCTGCGTGATTATTAGTGACAACTCGCGGCTGCCATCACCTCACTCGTCCCGCATCGCGCAGGGCGACTGTGGAGACGTCCATATATTACGCTTCACATGGAGCGGGAGGAGCTGGTGGGGCGTAAGCGGAGCATAACAGAGGGATTGTTTTGGACAGCGTAACCTCACACTCCCGTGTGGTTGCAAGTCGTGCTTAAATATTTCATTAAATATTTTCCAACGTTAACATCGGATAGAGTTGGTTTCCCTCATGGCAAGCAGCACGCCCGTCTTCGTTTTGTACTTAAGCTTTGATTACCAGCCAAACGGACGTTAGCGTTAGCTTACTGGGGCGTCATGCTCCACAGAGCATGACCAGGAGAAGAGTTTTTTTGTTTCGTCTAGCGCAACCAGTGCGTAGCCAGGGGAAAGGGATGGCTGAAAATGGCAAAAATGCGTAACTAGATTTATGTACGACTCCCCATGGTTCGAATACTGGCTTGAATGTGTAGCGCTAATTCCTCGCCAGCTTGTGACTCATCGTTTTAAATTTTCTCTCGTCGCATTCACTGGTTTAAATTTCCAGTGCCAAAACCTCAACGGTTCGTAATTCACGTGTTCGCCGCTCCGGCTCCCAGCATTCCGCCCGCGCGAACACACGCACACGGCGATGTAGAGCCGGCACACACTTGGCCAGCACCGTCGCAGATTTAGCCGTCCCGGTTGTCGGCCGCGCGCACCGGCAGATGGCCGCCGGCTCCCGCTGGCGCCGTGGGCCGGCTGCAAGACAGGCGCCAGCCGACCATGGCATGACGGCTGGCCTAATCCGCAGTCACCGCAGCCGCCTAATGTATCCCATCAGAAGGCGCCATCTGCATGTACGCAAAGTGCACGAGGGAGGCAATGAATGCACGCGTGTACATATGGGCATTCATAGCCTCCTTCGTGTGCATAAGCGCGTACATGTGCACGTACGCACGCACGCGCAGGCATACGCACAACTGTAATGGCACGGCTGTTTTGCACTTAAAGGCGAGCGTCGTCAACGCGCTACTGCAGTGATGAGCTGCAGCGCAGCGCCCGTGAACGTGCTGCCGCTGTCGCTGCCGCTGGTGATCGACGGCAGGCCGATTACGTGACAGCCACAGGTACGCTCGTGACTTCAGCGAGCATGGTGACTCTCGCCAATACACGCAGACAATTGGATGGTGGCTCATCTTCGGCGGTACAGCTGAAGACTTCGCACCGCGTCTGGATCGGCTTGAGACATACGGGGGTAAGGGGGTCACCATGAAACTTCGTACCGATATTTAAGTCTTCAAACAAGTAGCACGGCGCTATTTGCTCCTCTTACAAGCTCCAACTGAGCCAGTGCTGTTAAATCGATCCACTTCGTCTACTCCTGCGGCCAGTATCCTTCAGGAACTTGTGTAACTGTCACCACGCGTACGCTGAGACGGAGAGAGAAGCGCGACTGCTCAGGCGACAGCGTTCCGTGCCGATGACCCCCCCCCCCCCCTCCCCCACTCGACAGCGTTCCGTGCTGATGTTCTCCCTTCCCAGGCCGTGCCCGGTGCCCGCCGGGCGGCACGGTCCCGGCAGCGGCACGCCGCGCCGGTGTCGGCGCACATTCCGCCGCTGCCGCCGTCCGGGCGCGCGGTGGAAATTCTCGGCGACGCTCCGTCTCGTGAGGCGCCGCGCTGAGGTCGACGCCGCTGACATTTCCGGGTGGGTCGCCCGGGGGAGGGGGGGGGGGGCCGCGCCGCCGGCGACCGGCGACGCTCCAGTCCGGTCCGGCGGCCGGCGGCAAAACTCGGCGGAGAGAGAGAGAGAGAGAGAGAGAGAGAGAGAGAGAGAGAGAGAGAGAGAGAGAGAGAGAGAGAGAGAGAAGAGTAGAGGAGGAGAGAGATGAGAGAGAGAGAAGTGAGATGTGAATAGAGGAGAGAGAGAGAGAGTGAGAGGAGAGAGAGAGCGTAGAGAGAGAAGAGAGGAGAGAGAGAGAGAGGAGAGAGAGAGAGAGAGGAGGAGAGAAGAGAGAGAGAGAGAGAGAGGAGGGGAGAGAGGAGAGGAGAGAGAGAGG